ATGTTCAAACTTGACAGCTTTAAGACTTGTGGACGTCAACGCCCAGAATTCCTCCTCCTGTCATATTGGCTCAGGAACTCTGGCATTGAAGCTCTCAAGTCTTGAAGCTCTCAAGTTACAAGACCCTTGCACCCCTATCCCTTTAGGAAAAAAAACTCCAGGTATGTTCAAACTTGACAGCTTTAAGACGTGTGGACTTCAACTCCCAGAATTCCTCCTCCAGTCATGTTGGCTCAGGAACTCTGGCATTGAAGTGAGCAATTCTTGAAGCTCTCAAGTTACAAGACCCTTGCACCCGTAACCCTTTAGGAAAAAAACTCCAGGTATGTTCAAACTTGACAGCTTTAAGACTTGTGGACTTCAACTCCCAGAATTCTTCCTCCAGTCATGTTGGCTCAGGAACTCTGGCATTGAAGTGTGCAAGTCTTAAAGCTCTCAAGTTACAAGACCCTTGCACCCCTAATCCTTTAGAAAAAGAACCCCCAGAGGTGTTCAAACTTGACAGCTTTACGACTTGTGGACTTCAACATCCAGAATTCCTCCTTTGTCTCTTCATCTTGATGATGTGCAGACGGGCGGGGGGAGGGAGCTGGAACCGGTTCTAAATGGCTCTGTCGATTTGTGGAACCTCTTCTATAGAAGAGGTTAGAACTAGCGGGAACCCACCCCTGCTTTAGTCCTTCCTCAGAGATATGTACTATATCATTTAAAGTCTCATTTTTTAAAATTTCTGCTTTTCAAAGGCCATTCGTTTGAAGGTGAATCCACTCTACTTAATGATACCGGGAACTGTAGGATGCTCTTTTGCCTTCATGCTTCCAGTCTCTACACCCCCAAATTCCATTGCTTTTGCTTCTGGGCATTTGATGGTCAAAGACATGGTAAGTTGCTTTATAAGGTAATTATTACTATAGCAAAATTACCAACAACACCGGAAGGTGGATATTTTGGCCCCGTAGACTCAGTTAATATGCAGTACCACATATCACCATAGTTACCACTTATAAAGAGTTTATCATATGAAGCTCAGAATTAGTTCACAGTAAGAAATTTAAAAAAAAACAGTTGAAAACAGGTACAGGTAGTTGTGCCAAATAGAGATTTCAAGCTAGTCCGAAGGTAATGGGGGATATGTTTAAATTAGAGCTGTATAGAGATAGGAGTTTGGTTTTCCACCAAATTTGTGAGCAGAAAAATTGGGTGGATGGTTTGTTGTTTTTGAAAAGAAAAAAAATCCTACCCCCCCCCCTTTCAAGGTAGATAATACCACAATGGATAGGGAAAAAACAAATACCTTTCCAGATTTTTCATTTGAAATTTGCCTGAAACATGGGATGCTAGGGAGGCTACAGACAGCTGGAGAAATGATTTTCCAATGAAAGATAAAACATTCATCATACACTATAAGGGTGTTGGAAATATTTCCAATTCTAGCCATTTTTGAATTATAAGAATGAATTCTGAAATTCTTTTCTCTGAATTTTAAGTACTTCCATAATGACTGGCAAAGCTTGTTTTGTAAAACAGATGTTTTGTATTAAAACCAATTGCCACACTTCTTCCATGAGAATTTCAGATTGATTGTTCGCTCATTTGCCAAAAAACAAAAACATTGTAAAGCAATTTTCCCATCAAATTGATAAATCTATTTACCTGGCACTAGAATTCATTTGTTTTCTTTTGTTTACATTATAATACACATTTTTTTTGCAGTTAGACTTTTTTGCAGTTAGACTTATATACCGCTTCATAGGGCTTTCAGCCCTCTCTAAGCGGTTTACAGAGTCAGCATATTGCCCCCAACAACAATCCGGGTCCTCATTTTACCCACCTCGGAAGGATGGAAGGCTGAGTCAACCCTGAGCCGGTGAGATTTGAACAGCCGAACTGCAGAACTGCAGTCAGCTGAAGTAGCCTGCAGTGCTGCATTTAACCACTGCGCCACCTTGGCTTCTTTAAGGAAGAAGCGAATTAGCAATGAGCAAGCAATAATGAACTTTTCTGCCATTTCCCCAATCTTTTCCTTCACATGCATAGCTTTGATTTACACCACAAAGGAAGCACATACAGTATTATATGATATGACATGGCATGTGACTCTGCCTGGTAGCTGCATATTTTACCTAATGGGAGACTTCATAACTTCATCGCAGTGGAATATAGATAGGAATATAGATAGATAAACAATTAAACAATTCTCTTTCTTCCTCACTGCCAGCTTCCCAATTTAGCTACCAGCCTGTCATAAGTTGACATGGAGTCTTCGGATCTTTCAAAGACCATGTGTTCACCAAAGGATTCTGAATAAATATGCACATCTGGATAAAAATATTATATCTCTTTTGGACTGGTTTAAAGAATATAAAGTAATGAATATTCTTACCCAAATATCTGCATGTGGACCAATTCTTACAAATTTCCCCATACTTGGTCTGAGGTTAGAGTAATTCATTGGCATGATTGAAAATGAGGCAACAATTTTGGGAAGGAAGTGAAAAAAAAGGAATTCCAAAGCACTCCAAAACCAACTCATGATCTATGAAGCAACTCACAATTTAGGCAGCACATCCTGTCATTATTATTTCCATGACCATGGGAGTCCATTAATAGTAAGAAAATAAAACCTAAGCCCAAAACCTATTGCTTACTTCTGCCCAAATTGCAAGATGTTCCTGTGTTCTATGATTCTGCAGAGATTTCCTTTTTGTCCAATGCTATCCATATTCACCAAAATGATGTAAGTATATTACAGTAGGCACCAGCTGGAACTCTCAGGGAAGAACTTGGGTCATCTCCATATCTTTTGTAGCCACTACACACCTTGCTTTATAGAGGTGTGGGGGTTCAGTGGCTTAATGATGCTGGAGATGGTCTCTACTCTAGTGGTCCAAATCCTAGCACTGTCTGGCGAGGTGAACTCTCATCACTCGCCTCAATGTTTTCTATCCACCTAACAGTTCGAAAGCATGTTCTATGAGAGTAGATAAATAGGTACCACTTCGGTGGGGAGATGATCTGGTGCTATGTGGAGCACTCAGATTCCTGTTGGCTCTGAACCTTCCTGGTTGGGGTACCAATTTAGTAGGTGGCCCCAGGGAAGTGGGGGAATGACACTGTAGGAAGAGCTGCTCATCTTTCTTTCTGGTGCAAAGCCAGCTCACCCTCCTGTGCCACACCTTGGGAAGCACATGAGTGTGTCCTACAACACGGCTAGTAAATTTGTATCCAAACTATTATTCTGCAATATCATTATGGCCTGCTGGTTAAAGTAACAACACCGTATGCTAATAGTAATAGTAATAATACAAACTCGCCACCAGTCAATTGCAAAAGGCAACTTTACTCAGAACAGCTTCCACCCTGCAACAAAATCTGTAACACCATCAAGCATCCAGATCTGCCTATCCCAGGTCCTTGGAAAGGGCTCCATAGGTAGACAAAAATGCCCGACCCAGTTTGAACATCTGGATGACTGTGCGACCAACCATAACAATAACAACCTTGCTTTATACGTACTTCATTAGGAACATAGCCAGCAATATGAGCTCTGGTGGCGCAGTGGGTAAAATGCACTGCTGCAGGCTACTTCATATTTTTTATCCAATGCTATGTTTTATTTGTTAGTTCTCTTCTGTTTATTCACCACATCCCCCCTGGTTTTTGTTTGTTTGTTTGTTTGTTGTTGAAAAGGAAAGGATGGAATAATTTATTGAAATTTCTTTTTTTGGTAATATTAGTATCAGGCTTCCTTTATCTAGAAAACCCTCCTTTAGGAAATGCTAAGTTATGAGCCGTGGTGGCACAGTGGTTAGAATGCAGTACTGCAGGCTACTTCTGCTGGCTGCCAGCTGCCTGCAATTTGGCAGTTCGAATCTCACCAGGCTCAAGGTTGACTCAGCCTTCCATCCTTCTGAAATCGGTAAAACGAGGACCCAAATTGTTAGGTAATATGCTGACTCTGTAAACCACTTAGAGAGGGCTGTAAAGCACTGTGCAGCCGTATATAAGTCTAAGTGCTATTGCTATAGTATGGCTATATCCCAGTAAGAGCAAAGATATTAGCAAGTGAGGTCTAAACAGCCAGTCCTGGGAAAGTTATCCCTAGCATTGGCAAATATCTAGTTTGATCTTTGAGCATGTAACTGCAGTTTCCTTACTCAAAATTGCCCCATTTTATTAATGATCAGGTTTGTAGGACCTGAGGGTATTAATTTATCACTCTCTTGTTTTAAAATAGAAAATAGGAGTATAGTAATTATTTGAACTTTTATCCTTTAGCAGCTCATTATCAAATGTTCAGTAAAAGACACCTTCTCTCTCCCATCATTGCCTAAAGTGCACATTTTCCACATTAACTCATTGAATACACTGGAGTTTAACTCACCATGAAGTTCCTGCACTGAAATATTCTTGGCTTCCTTGATCTGGAAACTATCTGAAAACCTATCCTTGCACAGATGATTTTTGGGAAGATGAGATGTAGGAAATATGGGAATCTATTCATGAAAACAAATAGCACAGACTATTTTGAATTAATTCTAAATTTAAAATGATGTATTTCAACTGAACATTAGGAGAAACATCCTAATGGCAAAAAAATTCCAACTATAGAAATAAATACCTGGTATGCCATTGAATCTCTCCCCAGATCAAGGTTGAACAGCCATGAATTGTAGATCATGGAGCTCTAAATGTCTTAAATTGGGCAGTGGGTTGGGATTGATGACTTCTAAAGCCTGCTCAGTTTTATAAGTCTGTAATGAGCCACAGCCTGCATTCTAAATCAAAAATATTTACTCTCTTTGCTTTCTTTCCTTGCAGGCGAGAACTGGCCTACTGATGAATTTGATGGGAATCTGTCTTCTGAGCTTGGCCATCAATACTTGGGCTATGAGCATCTTTCAGCTAGGCAGCTTTCCTTCCTGGGCCAACATCCATATGGAAAATACAACCACCCTACTAGGAGATGCTCAGAACATTTCTTTGAACTTAACTATAAATAAACTTATATAACTATTACTTAACTATAAGTAAAGCAACCTTATTGATGAGATTGGGTGAGAAAACGTCTGTCCTCAAATCTGAGCACTAAATTAAATTGATATTGAACACAGGTATGCATGGAAGGACACACTGTGGATGCGCCTCCACCTTAGGACCATCATGTATTTTCATTTGTTTTTACAAATCTTTATAAATATTCGTTGACTATTTGAAAGACATAAAAGACTTTTTCATTTTTCATTCAAAGAATTATCAAGTAGCTCTAGATAGGTCTAGCTAACCTTTCGCTGTTTGAGCCCTGGAAGATCTTTCCCCATCTTTTGTTGTTCAAATTATTGTAACTTAGGAGAAGCAGCAGCGAAGCAGTTCCAGGTAGACTGCTATGTTTGGCTGTTCAGTTGAAGAATCAGTTGACAGTTGGAAGAGCCTGCCTTTTATAGGCAGCTCGGCAACTGACAGGCGCGTCTGATTGGCTAAGACGCGCCTGGCTGCTACCGAGCTGTCATTCGTAACTGCGAGGACTTTCTTTCAGTATACAACACAAATAAAGAGGATTATTTTGCTTTACTAAAGATGATCATTGCCTAAATATAGATATATCTGGCTATTTAATGTAGTAGCACATTGCATCTGAATACAGAAGTATGTGAGTAATTAAAGCAATGAATCAGAAAGCCTATTGCCAACTATATATTCTCTGCCAGACACAGGCACAGCAGATTATCAAATCAGATATGTTTTTAAAAATCGCATTATCCTGTTTTACTAGGGTAGCGACAACTTGGTTGAATCTGTGATGTTTAGAAGAGATCAGGAGGACAGATAATATTATAATATTATAGATCTGAGTTGTTCTGAAAATGACAGGTAAAATGGAAAAGGTTTGCATATATGTGCAAATATCGGTGGGAAAGTACTGAATATAATCACAAAGAAAAGTGTTGATCTTCCTTATTTTCTCTGGGACATTTATTGACCATCCCATAATAAGATCAAATAAGGATACTCAGAACTGGCAGGACAGCCAATTCTGTTGAACATTGATAGGAATCTGTAGTAACTTAGGCCAGAGTTTCCTTTCTCGAAATTGTTGAAAACACTGATATGTATTAAAGAGCATATCAGTAGATCAATACACTTGACTTAGTGCCTTTTGTGTCTGCTTCTTGAGGCCAAAGTATAGTACTCATTTTGTCTATATTTTTTTAAAAAAATGTTTGAACATGTACACTCTCTCCTACCAGAATTACACACTTAGGGATTTTAATTATATTCTTGATAAACTCTATATGTGCACGGTGATCTCTAAACAATTTATCTAGTGATGTAAAACCTGAAGTTAAGCTGTATGGAAGAATTGGGATATTGCACCCCAGATATATGACAAAGTTGCTCTCAAATTGTAGTTTTTTATGTGTTAAAAAGGGACAATTGCCAAATATATGGCTAGGAAACAGTCATTATAAATATAATTAATGTTAATCACATGTAAATATAAGTAAAATGAAATTATATATGGTTTTTGCCATGAAAATGTCCATTAATGTTGGGACTCAATGTTCAAGTTCTATTGAACTTGCAAGAAATAAAATGTTTGATGCCCACAACTGCCATACGCAAGCTTATTAGTCCAGTAAACGATAAATAGTTTATTGAAGAAAAAGAGAAAGATTGCAGATTTTATGAATTTTAAAATGATCCTTTAACAAAAAGCAATTACTATGAAAAATTGTCAACAGTAAGAATTTGAAATGAGAACCTGGGAAGTTCTAGACTCTACCATATCCTATTGTCTTATTGCAGGGTTGCCAGATTACTTCAGTGCAATCTTGATCCCATAAATATCAGGGATTTGAGGTAATCCAAAATAAAGTGGAAAGAACAGTTGAATGCTGGTCTGCTTTCATTCAAAAGTAATTGAAAGTGAAGCTGATTGTTGGTCTGCTCTCATTAAGCTTAAGTCAGTTACCCTTAGCATCATTCTAGATTATTTTTACAGTAGATAGCAATGCATATGAAGGAGATCTGAATTGGTATTAGGGATTGTTTTATATTGTTGTCCTCAAGATTATTTTAGATTCCACCAAATGCACCATCTGATTCCATATAAAATAAATTAGTGTGCTGGGCATAGGATAGAGCAGTGTTTGTCAACCTTGGCCACTTCAAGAGATTTGGACTTCAACTCCTAGAATTCAGTTCCCCATGTTAGCTACGGAAATCTGGAAGTTGAAGTCTACACATCTTCAAATGACTTACATTGAGGAAAAACTGGAATAGGGTGTGGCTTTTTAGACTTGCCATTGTTCACTGGAGAAATTTATCTGGTATAAAGTAAAATGACAAAGCTCATGTAGTGGTGGCATTAGTTATTGGGAGCATCATACCTGAGAATGCTTCATCACAGGTCATATTCACTATCTAGATCTCTCCTTCTATGTGTCCAAATCATGAAAATGCCTAAAGTTTTGATTGTTGCTCTTCCCATGTCCATTAGTCTTTTGTGGGGAATTATTTGTTGCTTGGATTTGAGAGATGGATGTTAAAATCTGATCAGTTTTTTTTTTATTGATTGATGATCTGTGTACTTTCAGTGAAAGTGTTTGTGTATGAATATTGATTCCAATCCACACTGTAAACCTGATTCTGTGTTATATTATTATATGTGTGTGTGCAAGAAATGGACTTCACACAAGTATAAGATCACTGTTGAATGCATGCTTTGGAAGATTTAATATAAGGAAATGTGCTGAGGATGTATGGAAGTTCAGCCATGAATTTCACTATGATTAATTTTGTTATTCCTTGCCTAACTTAATTCAATATTTGTTTCTGGAGCATATGTGGCAAATGGAATCCTGGGTTGTCTCTTTCTCTCTTGTTAAGGTTCATGTTACTATTAAATCAACATCACTGTTGTGAAAGTAGGAAAAGGTCAAACTAAAATCATTGACACAGAACCACTCAAGTATTAGATGACACAACTCCAGATACGTAAGGGGCATAATTGTGATGACTGAGAATAAAATGCATTAATTAGTCTATGGCATTGTTATGTTCTACGTTTGTGACTCACAAGGAAGGGATGATGTCTAGCCTTTTTTTTTTCATGAACATGATGTCCAAATGAACGTTTCTATTAATTTCCACACTCTAAAACAAGATAATTATGTTGACTAGGCTGGTTATATAATTGTAAAAGTTCTGGGCAGAAAAAAATCCAGGAAACCACTAGATGGCAGTGGTTGTCTGAATTTTTGCAGGTTGGATCTCAAGTCTTAAGGCACGGGTTTCAAATTTGCTGCATCACATGATGTTTCATGTTCCATTCGCGGAGGTGGGATGGGTGTGGCCTGCACATGATGCATCCGGCCCGTGGGCCACCAGTTTAACACCCCTGCAGGCTTAGGGGAATGGAATATTTTTGCTAAAACTGCAATACTGTATTGATTTTTTGACACAAGTATTATGAAGTTTCTAAAAAATTACTTAGGAGAAATATCACTATAAATCACCATGCTTATAAATTACTAATAAAAACAATAAAATAACTGCTTTAAAAAATACTAAGGCATCAGTAATGTCAGCATTTTGAATAAAAAGTCTTAAAGCTGTCAAGTTTGAACACCCCTGGGTTTTTTTTCTAAAGGGTTAGGGGTGCAAGGGTCTTGTAACTTGAGAGCTTTAAGACTTGCGTGCTTCAAATGCCAGAGTTTCTGAGCCAACAGCCAATCTGTTTGGTAAGGTTTACGCACATTCACTCCTGTATAATTCCTGATCTTCAAAGGCCCAGGTAAATGGACTCTGTCTAGTAAAACTAGAGCTTTTGTTCATTTACAGAGAAGCCACCAACCATTCTACAGATCAGATGGTTAAATCCCCTGTATATGGGCTTCCTTAAATTTTACCTGATATCATCATCTTCTTTGTTTTACCAACTTCCCAATGTTTTTTTCCTGTATAGTAATATGCTTTCTAGTAAATAATTTGTCTTCATTCATGCTAGCCATCTCAATTATGATTATATCATTCTTTATTCCAGTGATGAAAT